ATATTTTTATTCCTTTTTGGCACAATCCAAATATTTGGTTTAGAAGACTTTATGTGGCTGGCTTCAGAAGTCTAGGAAGTCTTTCCCCAAATACACTTTTTTTTTTTTTTATTTCCTGTATTTCATTTTAATGGTTAAATAAAATTTTAGTAATCAAAAACCATGTCAAATTAATTTAAGTCATTAAACTTCAACAATTTATTCAAATGTTAACAAAAATTAAGTTTAGGGCCCTACGAAAATGGTTTTCACATTTTAATGTCTGAATTCCATTTTAATACTTTTATTAAAAAGCATGTCTAATCAATTGAATTAAGACAACTTTAACAATTAAATACGTTATTAACATTTTTAAAACAACATTACATTTTTATTATTTTTTTTAACTGCTGTCCGTTTACATTTTTTTCTGGACTTATGCTCTAATACAAATTTATTATCAAAAAACTGTGGTAATTAAATGAAGGCATGAAAGATTAACAATTCAATTTTTGAAAATGTAATTAAATAATTCAAACAAAGTGCTGCGCAACAGGTTTACTTGGAAGAAAAATGATGTATTCCTTAAAAATAGAGTTGTAATAATTAAAATATTATTTTTTATTACTTTAAAAAGAATATTATAATGTACAAAAGTAATGCATTTCATCAGTTTCTCCAAGTTAAACTTGACTTTTATTTTGGCGGGATGTCTTGAAGCCCTTTGACCTTTCTGTGTGTGTATCTGACAATGGTTTCTTTTAAGTGAAATGGTGAAATTTTAAGTGTACAGCTCTAATTTAGATTTAGTCATCCAAAACGTGACAAATTATGTGGCATTCCACATAGTACTATTAATTTAATTTTTAGAACTGGATTTTGAGATTTTGTCTGCCATGGAAATCAAGGGGCTTCTTTAAGGGTATTTTTTTTAGTGCTTCGTCCTCAAATTCGCAATTGGTGAATGTTAGAATATTGTGATTTACCTGCATAACTGAGTAATACAGGCAGAAAGATGAGGCCGTGAGCTGCTCCTAGCAGGACTATTGAGAGATACATGCGGAAGTAGAAAATCTGGAAGATCTGGGATTTGGACAGGGCGAGAATCAGGATCCCACCGAATTTAGTGAGGGTGATACCACTGAACACCTGCGGAGTCAGAGCAGCATGTAAGAAGACGCTTCACTGCACTCACATTATATGCTTTCACGTTCACCAAGAATATGTTTGTGCACGTCACATTCATAAAGCAGTAGCAAACATCACTCACAGAGCTGCCCATGTGTGCCAGCGCCTCCTCTGCCCGATCCACCCTCGAGCTCCTGGTACTGACAGAGAAAGCCCTCACAATATGACTGCAGAACTCCACTGATATGCCACAACACTGTAAAGGAAACAATTATGGTAAATGATGTTAGCGAGCACTGATAAAAGGGTTTCAGTAATGAATGTTATATGTAGGTCACAAGCTTCAACAATCCTGTATTACCAGTTCCATGAAACACTATTCCTTTAACTCACCATGACAAGGTTGACCAAAGAGACCGCGTTGAGGCTGATATTCCACAGCCACATGACTCCGAACATGTTGACCAGGATCATGGCGATGGTGAAGGACACCAGTACTGCCGACCACAGCTCAAAGCCCAAAAGCACAGTAGACACCACAAAGATGGCCGCCAACGACATACCAAGGTTAAAAGCAGTGTCATAGATGATCGTGAGATACTGTTCATAGAAGACGTAGAATACACTGTCCATGGGGGGGGAAGAAAAAAAATAATCAAACAGGTCAGGGGCCACGGCGATAATTACTGATTGCAACTGACAATCCTAGTATGTATGCATGTATTTATATATAAATAAAAAACAGGGTTCCCACTTTTTCATGAACACCAGATTCAAGGACTTTTTAAAGCACCATTTATTCTATATCAAGCACCTAATCAAATTCACACCCCAGAATATGAACTGCCATGAAAGACCTTACATTACTTAACATTTCACTTACACTTAACTGCTCAAAACGGTCTAAATTTATGAAACCTACACATTCAAAACATTATTACTCTGAAATTTTTAATGTAAATGTTGTGTTCAAAGGAATTTAATGAAATCCATTGACGTCAGTACTGGTGATAAAATTCCATTTCTAAAATATTGATAAAATATGCATCAAACTGATTTTTGCTGTAGTTCTTGTACAAGATTTAAATTAGAAAGAATTTCTCAATTTTTAAATTAATAAAAAGTGGTTAAATGTTGTAATAACATGGTAAAACCTGTTAACATTAAAAATTCGCACATTCACTCAAAAGATAGATTACTCATTAATAAATAAACTCAAGTCAAAATAATTTTGTAAATGACTTTTTATTGTAAATCCCATTTTTTTTCATCTTTGACCTAGAGGAATGCAGCTGCTCAAAACGTCAATATTTTTTGAAAATATTTCATGAGCATTTTAAATCTTGTACATGTGCAAATCTGCAAAAAATATATAAAGAAAATAAATTTTAAAAAATAGGAATTTCTATTTGCTTTTAAACTGTAAACGCTGTTCACTAAGCTGTTCTTCCAATTTTTCAAGTTCTACATTTTCTCCTTAGCTCCATGTTGCAGTAAGTTCTGGGAGTTCATTTTTAGTCCATCTCCTATCCTGAAAAGTCTGTCTTGCAGAGACTGACAAAAATGAGCTGCTAAAACTTACTGCCGGATTCTGGAAGATCAATTCTTCTAACAGTGGTACTAGAGGATGTGGTGCTGGTCCTTCAAGAGTCACTCTCAACTTATCTGTCCATAAAGCCTATATAAAAAAAATTGTCTTCATGTATTTCACAACACTTCAGAATGTTATTCTTAAGTAGGGATCATTTTTTAGGATTTTTTACCCAAGCAAAGTCTCTGAGAACCTGACACCTTGTAATTCTGGAGACTCAAGGTTGCAGTTCTGGAAAATAGTGGCACTGGAGACTAAAAGGTTCCTGATGGTTTCACACTTAATTCTTCA